GCAAGCGTCTTAGCCATTATGCCACAGGTCTCCTCCTTATCAGCTGAAGCCAGGGAAGAAGGTATCCCTTTATTTATTTATCAGCACAAATAAAACACAAATATAACAAAGGCAACAGTAAAAATATTGGGTTTCTGTCGTGATGGACTCTTGTGATGAGTCGATTGACAGATAGTGGAAGCAGTTAGCTTCCTCCCATAATTGGGGCTTACCAGGGGTTGTGACCTGGTATGCCCCAAGTATACACACACACATACACATGTACATAGATACATATAAACAAACACACACACTCACACACCTTTAATGTAATACATTGGATTGCCCTTAAAGTCTAAAGAATCTCTACTGTATTCTTCCAAGTTTGATACGAATTTATTGGTGATGTGAGGGGGAAAATATAGAAATATCTATATAATGCTTTATTTGGCCAAGAGTGAATAGACACGCAAGGAATTTGGCTCTGGCACAGAAGCTCTCAGTGTACATACAAAACAACATAATAGAGGTCCTCTAATTACAACAGTAAGATCCATTATATTTAGCGTAATCCATTGTGAGTAGAGGAAGAATCTACATGCGGCTGAGAAATTAATATAAAGTGCAAAGTGATCGGGGTTGAAAGCAGGCTAGTTAGTGTTTTGGGAGCTTAATTTAAACTAAGCACACAAGAAGTGAGAAATGAAAAATATCAAAGAGGGAAGCAGCCTAGAACTAAGGAGAAACTTCCTGTCAGTTACAACCATTAATGAAGGAAAATACCAAATGTATCGTTGAAATCAGATGAACGTAACTGTGATTTCTGATCCGGGCTGATGTAAACACGCAACCAAATTTTACCCCAAGCGAAAGGATTATATAGCTGAAATGTACACATAGCAGTTTTATTTATTTAGCGTATGGCAAATACATGCACTTACAGAAGTTCAAAGGTCAACATCAAGTCCACCCAGCCATTCAAGGACAAACATTGGGCCAGTGTGAGCTCTTGATGGACATTCGGACACAATGTGATGGATATTTTGTTGAGGAACACCACAGTCACACTGAGGGGTAGAGACAAGACCCCACTTAAGCAATGAGTCCTGGCAGACACTATGTTGGGTACGGATCCTGTTCAGAGTTGACGAACGCTGGCGAAGAAGGTGAAAACCTGGCTTTCCACTGTCTCTTGATGTCAAACTTGTTACACAGCTGTTGAGCGAGTTGTAATTTTGTTGTACTCCTTCACTAAGGCTTCCTGGCTTCGTAGAGCTGGTGGTGCAAAGGATGGGGAAACATTTTGTTTATTCGTTGCTATGTATTTAGAGAGTCAAGAGTTCTAAAAAGATCTCTGGCTGCCAACTGTCCTTAACTGCCAATTCTTCAATGTAGTCTGGCTGGCAGTTGGGTTCACACTTCTGTGCTATCCAGGGCGCATCATGAGGAGGTGAACTAGCATCACACCCTGTAGCAGCAAATCTGTTCCATAGAACCTTTCTGTCTGTGAATGAACATGGGGCTGTGCACCGACGTATAATTTAAAACATGGGTACAAACTTCAAATGCCATTCAGCATTGGGCTGTCAAGCCAACTGATATCATGAAGTTCAACAAGGAACTTTAAATGTGTTCAAGATACCTGTGGTTTCATCCAACTCCTTAGACAGCACTGAAATTCACTTTGTGTGACTTGGTGTTTTCAGAAAGGACTGGTTATTGAAAATGTCCTACTTGACCCCTCCAGCCAGCTCCTCTTCCAGGAAGTGATTCCACATTTGCATCCTTGGTTTAGAATAGCTGGTAGAGAGAGGTTCATGTTTATCTGAGCATGGAGGTTCATTCACCAAGCTTGATGGTGGGTTTCCAAACATTTTGTTACCAGGCTGGGTAATATCTTCAGCAGAATTTAGGGAATGTCAATGTCAGTGTTCTGCTTGTAAGGGCTTGGATTTTGTGCAATCAGTAATTAATGATGGAGAGGTGGTGTCAGGTGAGGGTCACGTCAGGTGGAGGTCTTGTAATGGGTTATCAGTGGGGGTCTTGTGATGGGGAGGTCATGTCAGGTGAGGGTCTTGTGATGGATCTTGTGATGGGTCAGCTGTGGGTTGTGTCAAGTGGTGGTTTTGTGCTGGATCAGATGTGGGTCATGTGACCCTCATCTGACACATCAAAAAACCCTCACTTGACACGACCCACACCTGACCCATAGTTGTTCCTGTAACGCTGCAGTTCCCTTAAAATTGAAGTTGAACTGAAATAGCATTGCATACATTCTTCTTCTTCTTCTTCTTCTTCTTCTTCTTCTTCTTCTTCTTCTTCTTCTTCTTCTTCCTCCTCCTCCTCCTCCTCCTCCTCCTCCTCCATTTGACAGATGTTGCGTCTGTCTTTAGCCAGCTGCTATTTCATGATAAAACCACTAGAGGACCTCAGCACTCCATATTTGTTCCCATTGATGGCTAAACAAGCACAGAAGAAATAGGCTTTAAGAGTAAGTGGTAACAACAACAAAAAAGTGTAATCAGAATCAAATGGAGGTTGCTTTGTTTCTGCTGGCTTTTATTCATCAGATTTACAGTGCAGTATGGTTTGGTGCC